AGTTGTGAGCAAAAAATTCAAACACCTTGTGTTTCACTAGGTCTGAGGGAAGCGGGGATTTGGAAGGACGGGATCTATAAAGGAAGGTAAGGCACAGGAGATGCTGAGAACACAGAATAAAAGCTCAGTAGGTCGCATGAAAACAAAAATACCTGACATACAATGTGGGGGCAATCCAGGCATTAAAGGCAGTGGGACAGATGCAGTCACTTAGTTGTCTGACTAGGGTAGGTATGGGATGTGACAGTAAATTTCTGAAAATTTCTTAGAGGTGCTATATACTGGGTTTTATTAAAATTGAACATGATTGGGGTGACAATTTCACACTAAAAATACATATAGAGCGCTTGAAGTGATACAAAAGTTGCTGTGTCCCATAGGACTCATGAAGTACTACAATTGGTACTAGGTTTTGCATCACAGGCTCCTACGGGCTAGAAGCTATTGACAGAAAAGGCCTAATTTTTGAGAAAAAAATATCATATCAAGTACACAAAGGGTTAAACTTGAATGAGAGTTGCTGTGTCCTATAGGCCTTAGGTAGTACTACAATTGTTACTAGGTTTTGGGTCACAGGCTCCAACGGCCTAGAAGCTATTGACAGAAAAGGCCTAATTTAAGAGAAAAAAAAAACATTTCAAGTACACAAAGGGTTAAACTTGAATTAAAGTTGCTGTGTCCCATAGGCCTAAGGTAGTACTACAATTGGTACTAGCTTTTGGGTCGCAGGCTCCTACGGCCTAGAAGCTATTGAAAGAAATCTATTTATCCACTTTTCCCTTTTAGAATGATACTTTAAAATGAAATAAAGTGTTAAAAACGAGTAAAGTTCACTGTGTCCTGTGCATGTCAGGTAGTTGCAGAATATATATGCACTCATTTTGGAGTTACTGGGTCCCATTGCATTGATGTTATTGCAAGCAATCAGTATTTTATTATTCTGACAGTAATTCGTTGACGGTCCCTAAGTCAGCGGCGCGCTAGCGCCACAGAGGCTGTAAATTGATCTGGCCGTCTTTCGACCGCCTTATACCGGCTAGCGTGAGTGATGCCCCGCCGCTAAGTCTGGAGAGTGTGGATCTGAATATCCGTCGAATATCCAACCTAAAACTGATTTCACCTCGGTGTTTTTTTTTCGTTACTCTGAGAGAGACTTTTTTGTTGTGTGCTGATCTAATAAAAAAAGAAGAGTTCTCTGACTCCGTCCCTTTTCCTTCGAGTTTATCGCTGTTGATGCTGCAATTGTTCAACACAAAAAAAAACTCTAAAACTTGTGCACACCTGAAAACATTCGCTTGCTGAAAAACTTAAATTCGGGAAACCCAGTAATTAAAGACGGTTTGTGTTTCATAAATATAATAGTGAAAACTTTTCGACATGTTTGATAATGCATCTTAAACAACTTCAGTGATTATCACAAGCATACATATTGCAGTTTCACAAAAGAATAAACAGGATGCAACTCACCTAACTGTAATAAAAGAGCATCGGCGTCTGAAGAATCTTGCTCCTCCATTTCAGCCGCTACCTAACGAGACGTGATTAATTGACTTTAATCTGGCGTTAAATGCTTATTCCTTCTTCATTACGCGATATCATATCTGAACAATAAACCGTCTGGCATGTTCATTCATCAAGAGAAATAAACGTACGTGACGTTGGTATGATAATATACATTAAGAAAAATGTACAGTAAAGGTTCTCACGTGGGAAAATTTAACATGTACTCTTCGTGCAGCTTTACACTTGCTCACACTAACCCCAACAAGCTATATTTTACGTTTAGTAAAATTTTAACGCGTGACAAGATATGTGGAGAGTAACTTCACTGGTTTAAAACTATTACAGTAACGGTACCGTCACGAGGATAGGACCGTGCATGCGCTCCGCCCGCGCGTATCCCACGGCCGAATGGTAGGTCCTATGTTCTTTTCCTTACCACTTATCATTGACCTCGATGGAAAACGTCGACATGAGGTGAAAGTAAGGAATGAAGAAAGTCAAAAGGACCTAGGAAAAACAACTGCGACGCCCCGAGAATATGACTGCACTTGCACTCTTCTACACTATTACGCTACTACGGATGTTATGGACGTGAATCTGAAACTACTATGCTCCGAAGAGCACCGTGAAGCTAGCAAGAATGAGAGCCGTTGAGAGAGATGCGACACTGATTGATCTCGCCGCCACGCAATCACGTGGTTCATATAGCCTTCAATAATTCCAAACAAACCCCGCGCTGCTGTGGTCTCTTTTGGGCAGATAGCCCAAACGGTAAATATTTAAATATTAAACATTAGTGTGTATTTTTAACTGCCTTTACATTTACTACATATATGTTAATATCAGTTTGGAATACGAATTGGTGGAGCGACAAATTAAACAGTTATATTTGTGGAAGGAAAGAGTTTAATAGTGGTAACTTTTCGATATCACAACGCTGGTTCTTTTCCTAACGGGATACATCACTACCATAACTCATGCTACAGAGCAAAATTGCTCTGGAGCAGTTTAACTTTCAGGATCACTGATCTCACAGTGCTTGGATCAATTGAATACAAAAAGCAGTATATTATGTGACTTAACAAATCAGCAGTGGTGGAATGTAACAAAGTATTTGTACTTCGTTACTGTACTTAAGTACATTTTTACGTATCTGTACTTTACTTAAGTAAAAATAATAATGCATGCTTTTTATTTTACTCCATTACATTTTGCGGCAATTATCTGTACTTTCTACTCCACTACATTTCTACAATTTATGCCGTTAGTCGTTACATTTTATAAACACAATTTCCTCAAAATCTTGCATGAAAAAATAGTTAGCCTATTGCGTTCTGGCGTTGTTTGCCATTTCCTACCAATCAGGTGGCTTTATTAGCTCCAATGATGGCAGAGCGTGCGTCAATTAGCAGCAGGAGCTGGTAGACTGGCTTGAGTTCAAGAAGACGAGACATTCAACCTGGCGCCACACCTCCACTAGTGTTTGGTTACTGTTGTGTTTCTCTTTTACTGCTCTTAACAGATGTGTTGAATAGTTTTGCAAATACATAAATGATTTAAAGACATATCATGCCCTGATTGGTTTATTCTTAATGGTATATTAGTGGGTAAAACCTAGTAGATAACTTGTCATCCACATAATTCTAAGTTATGGTACACACAGTATTGCAGAGTGCACACACAATAAGCACACCAAACCTTCCAATACACATATACTGTATAGTTGCTTGTAATAATTACGAGCAATGACATCGGTAGAGGCGTAAGTCAGTATATCTACTATTCTTTTACAAAATGGCACACCCCAGATGTTGAGACAAGCCATTCTGTGAGTACTTTTACTTAAAAAAATACTTTAAAGTAAATTTAAATGTAAGTACTTAGTACTTTCACTTAAGTAAGATTGTTGATGTAGCACTTCTACTTTTACTTGAGTACATATTTTGCAGGATATTTGTACTTTTACTTAAGTACTAAGCTTCAGTACTTCCTCCACCACTACAAATCAGCTATAGTTTTATATTGGGCTGTCCCCTAGCTCCACTACACATCTCTTATATTTTATACGCAGGTGTTTCATGCATTCAACATAAGACAAATAAAAATCAATGAATACCAAAAACTACTCAAATTAAATAGGCAAGTTTGGTTAAAGGTGAGCCCAGCTGGTGACACTGCAACATAGAATGGGAGGCTAACAGGAATTTGGGTTTTAAATAAATAAATAGAAGAATTTATTAAATGGCTTCAATGTTGGCAATGTAAGAGGAGATGGCAGGACAAGAGGAAATGGTGGAGTGTGGGTAAAGATGTGTGGGAATGATCTAGAGCCAGGGAGGAAGGTGTGGGTAGCTCACTATGTACTGGGCACGCCTACGCAGGTGTCACCAATTTAAATAATAATTTCTCCCTACTACCACCACAACCACTACTGACTAGTGGGGGTGCAGGATGTTCAAGCACCCCTCTCTCTCTAAAATGGCACCTACTTGGGAGATCTAAAACAAAACACAAAATCTATCCCATGAACATTCCAGTCAAACTCTGCATCCTTCTGGTCCTATGCATCCTTGGTCCTGATGATGAAGGAACATGCGCACTGAAATTATAATGCTGCTTACAATCTAAATTATCACTGAATTATCACTCTGCAACTGTCTTGAAGCCCAAAGAGAAGACTTTGACTGTTTCATTAAAACTGCCTGTGACAGAAATACCCCACTTCTCAAGTACAGTAATAATAAAGTGAAGTCCTAACACATACAGTGGTACCTCGGTTCTCGAACTTAATCCGTTCCGGACTCCGGATCGAATCCTAAAAAGTTCGAGTTCTGATCGAATTTTTCCCATAAGAAATAATGGAAAAACAATTAATTGGTTTCCGGCCCCCCAAAATTACACCTAAATATGTTTTTTATTTTTTTAGCATTTAAACACAAAATGAACAGGATAAAACAAGAAGAGCATTTTTTTCTTAATGGCTTCCAAAACGATAAAGATCTTATCCCAACATTTCCCCTATCCTGCTCCGATCGTCCGCTCCTTCCGGGTGCCACGCCCCCTCCTCAACCGCGTGTGGGATCCCCATGTGATCAGCTGTTTCTGGTTGTTGTCATTAGTCCTCTGTATTAATGGTGCGT